ATTAAACAGCATGGGGGACAGTATAGAGCCCTGTGGAACCCCACAGGTCAAAGGCTGTGGTGTTGAACAGGAATCCCCCAATAACACCTTTAAACACACTATCATTCCCAGTTAGATCAGATTGCAATGCAGAAACAGGCCTGATTTGGTTTTTCTTATGCAAATATATATATGCAAATATGTATGTATGTATGTGTGTGTGTGTGTGTGTATATATATATATATAGTTCTTGCTGTTCTGCTTAGAACACACTACCATTCCCAGTTAGATCAGATTGCAATGCAGAAACAGGCCTGATTTGGTTTTATTATGCAAATAAAGCCAGTTAGGTTGGCTGCTGATTGCTGCATGAGAAAAGCTAGTAAAGCAAGAGTATTGCTCGGAGCAGAATGTAGTGTTGCAATTCCCAAAATTGGGAGTTTTTCAGGCTGTATGTGTATGTTCCAGTAGCATTCTCTCCTGACCTTTTGCTTGCATCTGTGGCTCATGGCACCTTGATTTAATGGTGGTCAAGTAAGTGGAGTATTAATATAATATAATATAATATAATATAATATAATATAATATAATAATATATATATATGTTTTTAGAATAAACGTATTATATTATGTTTCCAGGGTGGAAGCAAGGACTCTTGTCTGTTGGAAGCAAGTGTGGATGTTGCAATTAGCAAGCTTGAATACATTGAGTAATCATGAAGATTGCAAAGTCAATCAGTGAGGGTAGTTGCATAGTGGCCTGGCATCTGTTGCCTGGAGGCGGCCTCTGTGAAATAATGTCCATGGTGGGAGAAAGAAGCCTTGCCTGTTGGAAGTGTGGATGTTGCAATTAGCAAGCTTGATTGGCATTGAGTAGCCATGAAGCTGCAAAGTCAATTAGTGAGGGTACCTGCATAGAGATGGCCTGGCCATTGTTACTTGGAGGCACCTTCCATGGAAGAATGTCCAGGGTGAAAGAAAGAACCCTTGCCTGTTGGAAGCAAGTGTGTGTGTTGCAATTAGCAAGCTTGAAATGCATTGAGTAGCTATGAAGTTTGCAAAGTCAATCAGTGAGGGTATTATCTACTATAATCTCTATTATATTTATTAAAATTGCCACTATTACGATTGTATTTATTAGCATCACCACCATCATGATTGTTTTTGTATAATATAATATACTTCAAAGTCAATCAGTGAGGGTATCTGCATAGAGGTGGCCTGGCATCTGTTGCCTGGAGGTGTCCTCTGTGGAATAATGTCCAGGGTGGGAGAAAGAACCCTTGTCTGTTGGAAGCAAGTGTGAATGTTTCAATTAGCAAGCTTGATTAGCATTGAGTAGCCATGGAGTTCGCAAATTCAAGCAGTGAGGGTATCTGCATAGAGGCTACCTGGCTGCTGTTGCCTGGAGGAGACCTCTGTGGAATAATGTCCAGCATTGGAGAAAGAACCCTTGCCTGTTTGAAAGAAGTATGAAGGTTGCAATTAGCAAGCTGGAAAAAGCACTGAGTAGCCATGAAGCTGCAAAGTCAATCAGCGAGGGTATTAACGACTAAAATCGCCATTATTACTATTATATTTTTTAGCATTACCATCATCATTATTGTATTTGTATAATATAATCTACATACCTGTGGAATAATGTGGGAGAAAGAACCCTTGTCTGTTGGAAGCAAGTGTGGATGTTGCAATTAGCAATCTTGACTGGCATTGAGTAGCCATGAAGTTTGCAAAGTCAATCAGTGAGGGTATCTGCATAGAGGTCGCATGCCTGCTGTTGCCTGGAGGCTCCCTCCGCTTGGGAGGTGTTAACTGGCACTTGGTTCAGGGCAGTAAATAAGGAACACCACTCAGAAAACAGGAGAACTCCAGACAACACACAACCAAGTGCCAGCTAACACCTCCCAAGCAGAGGGTGCCAGGGGTCTAACTTTCATTATCTGATCCTTCCCGACAGATGGCCATCCAGCCTCTCCTTTTAGTGTCTGTTCATGCCACAAACCTGTTCCTTCTTTCTTTCTGCTCTTTTTTTCTGGTTTAAATAACTAAAACACACACCTACATGTACATAAAGACTTTTACTTGTGCAATAAATTATAACGCTATTTAAACAGGTGTTGATCTGGGTCTTCTTGTACATAAATATATTCTTCCAACGGGGTCGGATGATTCGGGGGCCAGCAGCTCCTTTCGCAAGTGAAAACCAAGGCGGTTCCAAATTCCACTGACACTTCTGCAGAGAGAGAAGAAGAAAACATTAACAGCATTGTAATAATAATAATAATAATAATAATAATAATAATAATAATAATAATAATAATTTGAAAATACACCACACAGTCCTAGACGCTTGATAAGTGTTCGACTTGTGATTTTGTGATACGAAATCCAGCAGAGAGATCTCATTTGCTGTGACATACTGTGCTTTTGTGTCAATAATAATAATAATAATGTAGATAATAATAATAATGGTGATACTAATAAAATAATAGTAATAATGGTATAAATATAATAATAATAATAATGATACTAATAAATATAATAGCCATAATTGTGTAAATAATAAATATTATAATAACATAATGCTAATAAATATAATAGAAATAATTGTATAAATTACAAATATTGTAATAATATTGTAATGAAAATAATAGTAATGGTGTAGATAATAAATATAATAACAATAACAACAATAATGGTGATATCACTAAATATAATGTAATTAGAATATAATAATAATAATAATAATAATAATAATAATAATAATAATAAAACTGTACCCTGGCCACGCATTGCTGTGGCCCTCAGAAAACAGGAATCCCAGACATGAACAATCTGGGCTAGGGAACACTTCCCCACAAAGGTTCCTTGTAGGCAGGAAGAAGCCAGGCTTTTAAGCTGCAAGGCTTTTCAAAGGTTATGAAGGTGGAAAATGTATGTGCATATGTATATGTGTGTATATGTGTGTGCATGTGTATATGTGTGCATGTGTTTATGTCTATATGTATGAGTGGTTTGCATGTGTATATGTATATGTGTATATATTTATGTGTGTGCATGTTTATATGTATGTGTGATCTGCATGTGTATATATATGTGTGTATATGTTTATGTTGTGTGTATATGTGTGTGCATGTATGTGTATATGTGTGCATGTGTTTATGTGTATATGTATGTGTGGTTTGCATGTATATATGTGTGTGTGTGTGTATATATGTATGTGTTATGTATGTGTATGTGTGTATATATGTATTTATGTGTGTATATATGTGCATGTATATATGAGTGTATATGTATGTGTGTATATGTGCATGACTGTGTTGTTTGTATATGTGTGCAGGCCTAACAGCCATGCTGTTCTGGCTGTTAGGAATTGTGGGAACTGAAGTCCAAAATGTCTGGTGGGTCCAAGTAGGCCCAGGCCTGGAGTATGAGATTTGTTACTGAACACTGTGACTCTTTTCACACAGAAGGGGGTGGGGCTAGGTTTTGCAATGTGTAATAAGGTATTTTACATTTTTAAAGGATTTTACAGCTATTTTCATGGTTTTGGGTGTTTTCTTTTATTGTTGGTTATACCTTGAGGTATGAGACGTTCGGAGGCCAAATTTGATGTCAGTTGGCCCCATAGTTTGTTTCTTTTTAGCCTATTCACGACACAAAGAAGCTTTTAATATATTAAGACTAGCTGTACCCGGCCATGGGTTGCTGCGGCCCTCAGAAAACAAGAGGATTTGCAGACATGAAGCAATCTGGGCTAGGGAACTCCTCCCACCAAAGGTTTCCTGCTGGTTGTAGAAGCCAGGCTGTTAAGGTGCAAGGTGGGATGGAAAATAGAGTAATGAGAAGCAGCCACTGAAGCTGCAAGGCTTTTCAGTTAGATTCATGCTGGCCATCTGGGTGGCCATCTTTTGGGGGTGCTTTGAATGTGATTTTCCTGCTTCTTGACAGAATGGGGTTGGCCTGGATGGCCCACCAGGTGTCTCCCAACTCTAGGACTCTCTGATTCTATATTCTTCTCTTCCCTTCACCAATTTTCCTCTTCCTTCCTTCCTTCCTTCCTTCCTTCCTTCCTTCCTTCCTTCCTTCCTCTCCCTCTCCCTTCTTTCCTCTCCCATCCCTGCCTCCTTTCCCTTCCTTCGTCTTTCTTTCCTTCTACATTTCCTTCCATTCATAATCTTCTCTTCTCTTCGCCGATCCTTTTCTTCCTTTCTTCTCTCCTTTCCCTTTCTTTCCCTCCTTCCTCTGGGACAATTTGTAAGGTTTTTTAAAGGATTTTTTGGTGTGTGTGTGTGAAAAGGGGGATGTGGAGCCCAAATGGGGCGGGGGGGGGGGGGAGAGTTGCCTGGTAGCCACGTGGGCCTCATGGAGCCATGCGGTGGCTCCAGCTGCTGCTGGGGCTTGCCTCACCAAGCCCCCACCCCTCTGTTGGGCCAGGCCTTCTCCTTCCTTCCCTCTTTCCTTTCCTCAATCCCTCCCCTCCCCTAAAGAAAAAGGACTCTGCCTTCCTGCATGACGAGGCTTCTCTTCCCTCACAATGGTTGGTGCTTCGTTCTTCTCACGCAATGGGGAGAGAGGCTTCTGCGTATGCTCTGTAAGGCATTTTTCTTTTTTGGGGGAGTTTTAAGTTATTTCCCCTTCATTTTTTATGGTTTTTTTGTTTGATAGACATAGACCGGATTAGAATGTGTTTTGCTGCCAAATTTGGTGTCAATTCATCCAGTGGTTTTTGAGTTCTGTCAATCCCACAAACGAACATTACATTTTTATTTACATAGATAGTATAATGTGCTGCAGGATGTCCCTCCCTTCTTTTGCAGTTTAATACACTTTCTCCATGTTTTGATGACAGACCCAAGCAGGAAATGGCATTTATAACTCAGGAATAAAAATTGTGTTACATAGTGTAATAATAATAATAATAATAATAATAATAATAATAATAATAATGCCAGTTACCCGTCCTGGATGAAAAGGGCTTGAGCATGTTGACCAATGCGGGCATCAGCTGGAACTCAAAGACCCTCCTGCTTTGGCAGAGACCGCAAGGTGGGACCCCGGCTGCTGTGACGTCGGTTGCGGCGAGGAATAAAGGCTCTCCGTTCCAGGAATACCTAAAGCCCCCAAAATACACCCAAAATGTTGCCTTTGTCAGCACTTTTAACCACATTCAATCAGAAAAATTCTTATGGCATGCGGTTGAGGTCCCGTTCAGGCTGTGGAGACCTATGCAGTCTATTCCTTGTGTTCCTCCAGCAAAGATGGGGCCAGACCTCCATCACTGTGTTTTTGAACTAGAAGAGTGTTATTATTATGTGGGGAAAGGATGTACCAATGGTTCCTTTTCACTAAATGGGTGTAAAAAACTGAGGTCCCTTCTACACTGCCATATAATCCGAATTATCAAAGTAGATACTCAACATTATCAGCTTTGAACTGGATTATGTGAGTCTACACTGCCATATAATGCAGTTCAAAGCACATAATCTGGATTCTGTATGGTAGTGTAGAAGGGGCTACTATGCAATAATGCAACAAGTCTGGTCCGCTGCCCTGCAAGGATTTCACCCTGCGTCAACATCACTGTTGGTGTGCATCAGGGATCAACGCTCTCGTCATGGTTTCTATGTTTTGTGTACATTGTTTATATGCTTTGATGTTTTCTACTTTATTGTTATGTTGTTTATTTTATTGCAATTTGTATTTTGTATTGTAATTTGTTGTTCGGGCTTGGCCCCATGTAAGCCGCTCCGAGTCCCCATTGGGGGAGATGGTGGCGGGATATAAATAAAGATTATTATTATTATCTCAGTATTTTTCGGGCTATAGAGCCATGTTCTAGAGGCATTTCTCCTGACGTTTCGCCTGCATCTATGGCAAGCATCCTCAGAGGTTGAGAAGGTCTGTTGGAAGTAGGAAAAATGGGCTTATATATCTGTGGAATGGCTGGGGTGGGGCAAGGAGCTCTTCCCTGCTGCAGTTAGGTGTGAATGTTTAGCTGATCACCTTCATTAGCATTTGAAGGCCTGCCTGAGCCTGGGAAAATCTGTTGCTGGGAGGTGTTAATCTGTGCCTGGTTTTTTCCTCTCTGTTGTTTAGCTGTTATAATTTTAGAGTTTTTTAATACTGGTAGCCAGATTTTGTTCATTTTCATGGTCTCTTCCTTTCTGTTGAAATTGTCCACATGCTTCTTGTGGATTTCAATGGCTTCTCTGTGTAGCCTGACATGGTGGTTGTTGGTGTGGTCCAGCATTTCTGTGTTCTCAAATAATATGCTGTGTCCAGGCTGGTTCCTCAGGTGCTCTGCTATGGCTGACTTCTCTGGTTGAAGTAGTCTGCAGTGCCTTTCATGTTCCTTGATGCGTGTCTGGGCAATGCTGCGTTTGGTGGTCCCTATGTAGACTTGTCCACAGCTGCTGGTATACGGTAGACTCCTGCAGAGGTGAGAGGATCCCTCTTGTCCTTTGCTGAACGTAGCATTTTGCAGCTGTGGACAAGTCTACATAGGGACCACCAAACGCAGCGCCCAGACACGCATCAAGGAACATGAAAGGCACTTGGACACAGCATATTATTTGAGAACACAGAAATGCTGGACCACTCCAACAACCACCATGCCAGACTACACGGAGAAGCCATTGAAATCCACAAGCATGTGGACAATTTCAACAGAAGGGAGGAAACCATGAAAGTGAACAAAATCTGGCTACCAGTATTAAAAAACTCTAAAATTACAACAGCTAAACAACAGAGGGGAAACAACCAGGCACAAAAAAATCACTATCAACAAGGTTCCCAGGCTCAGGCAGGCCTTCAAATGCTAATGAGGGTGATCAGCTAAACATTCACACCTAGCTCTAGCAGGGAAGAGCTCCTTGCCCCACCCCAGCCATTCCACAGATATATAAACCCATTGTCCTAATTCCAACAGACCTCAACCTCTGAGGATGCTTGCCATAGATGCAGGCGAAACGTCAGGAGAAATGCCTCTAGAACATGGCTCTATAGCCCGAAAAAACCCACAAGAACCTAGTGATTCCAGCCATGAAAGCCTTCGACAATACAAGATTATTATTATTATTATTATTATTATTATTATTCGTACTCTGCATGGACACTGGGACAGCAGATTTGCAGACTATGCATCCCAGGATATAGCACTCAGCTGCCAAAATGTGCAGACCTCCAACAAGTCCCCTTTGGGGTGAGAAGGGCAGGGTAGAAATATAGTAAACAAACAAACAACAGCTGCAGGCATAGAATGATAGACTCCATGAAAATGGGACTCCAGTGTTGTAGTTCAGCATGTTGCTCGAGTTGCTACTCCTAGCAGCAGGGAGAACGGGTCTACTTTAGAGTCAGAGGGAGAACAGCAGCGTCAGCACATTAGAGAAATCATTATGGCTCCAAGCGATACTGACACGTTCCCAGGTTTCTCCGATTGGGAGATGGGGGATGCGGAAGGGAGCAGAGGTGTAAAGAGGGCTGCTCGTGAGCCAGAGTCTGAAGGGGAATTACAAAGGAAGCGTATCTCAAGCAAATATTGGGAATTTATTCACACTGTCATTACTTGCAGCAATAGCCGATGTCGTTGTTCTGGTCCAGCTGTACCAGGAGCTCCAACTTTATTTACTTTGTATTAAATGTTTGCTTGCAGTTCTAGGTTTCAGGGACTCTGCAGATAGGTGGATTCTTTGGTTGCAGTCATAGGGCAAGTCACCTGTCCATCATTGTTAAGTTTTGGTCCCGCCCCTTGCTCAGGGCAATTGGGAAGGGAAGGGAGCCATTTTTAGTTAGTCTCAGCAAGGAAAGCTTATGTATAGGATGTGTGCAAGCTTCCCCTGTACAAAAGCTTCAACCCTTAAGACCTTCTGGGGGAGAAAGGTCTTAAGAGTCTCCAAAGAATTTCCAGGAAAACAGCCCTAAAAACCAAAGAACTCCCGCTGGAGAACATCTACTGCCTTGCTGGGAGGTCCACTCGGCATTCGAGACGCAGTTCGACCCGGTAGCGGAGCCCACATCAGTAAGGGTTAGATTACAGTCAGCCTGGGAGAAGTTAAAAAGGGGATTTTCCTTTAAAGAAGAAGTTATTGAAGACAGTTGCCTGTCCTTCGTGGGCAAGATTAGGAATTCACCAGTTGCCCAAAAGCTTGGAATCATTTGCTTAACTTTACTGAAGACAAGAGAAGTTTCTGTTTGATTGTTCATTAATAAAAGACTTTGTTGTACTTCTCAAGCCATCTAAAGACTCTTTGTGGTGGAAACCTCTGAGAACTTCTCTTTAGGCCCCCTGGCTTCCTGCTGGGCAAAGGTTGCACATCCTGTTCTAAAGACAATTATTTACAGGCCCAGCGCGTGACAGAACAGTAGTGAAGCAACCAAGTTGGGGGGGGGGGTGTTGAATGCTCTCATTAAGGAGGCCAGACTTGGTGGAGGTGGTTGACAAGGGCGGAGCTGCAGGCTATTGAAGGCTGCTCTGCCCCCTGCTGTGCTCTTTGCTTCAGCGTGAGCTAGGAGGCAGGTTTCAACCCCCCCCCTGTGAACTTTTCAACCCCCCCCCCCATTTCAACCCCTCCCGAAATTTTTTTCTGGCTACGGCCCTGACTGGGAGTGATATGGAAGATGATGAGGAGTTATTATTATTATTATTATTATTATTATTATTATTATTATTATAACTTTATTTGTACCCCGCTAGCATCTCCCGAAGGACTCGATGCGGCTTACATAGGCCAAGGCCTCAAAACACAACACAACAATACAATACCTAAAGCAAATTAAAAACAGTTAAGCAGAATAAACAACAAACAATAAACAAGACATCAAGACAATATAAAACTGGGCCAGGCCAGAGTAATGGGTACAGGATTAAAAGTGCTGATGTGGCAGGAGGTATGTAGGATTATAAGGTAAGTGCAGTGTGCGGTGTGCAGCAATCTTAGTTGTAATAAAGTGCTTCTGGGACTTGGTATTGGAGATTCCTAATCTGAGAAGGCACATCGGAACAGCCAGGTCTTCAAGTTCTTTCTGAAGGCTGCCAGCGAAGGGGCCTGTCTAAGATCTTTCGGGAGGGTGTTCCAGAGTCGGGGGGCCACCACAGAAAAGGCTCTGACTCGAGTTCCCACCAAGCGCGCCTGCGACGCGGGCAGGATCAAGAGCAGGGCCTCTCCAGATGACGGGAGTGAGCGTGTGGGAGATGCGATCACATAGGTAGGGTGGTCCCAAACCGTTCAGGGTTTTGTAGGTAAGCACCTGCACCTTGAATTGGGCTCGGAAAATAAACGGCAGCCAGTCGAGCTCCTTGAACAGGAGGGTTGACCTCTCTCTGTAATGACCACCAGTTAACATCCTGGACGCTGCCCGTTGGACCAGTTGAAATTTCCGAGCCGTTTTCAAGGGCAGCCCTACATAGAGCGCATTGCAGTAGTCCAATCTAGAGGTGACCAAGGCATGGACCACTGCAGCCAGATCAGCCTTCGCGAGATATGGTCGCAGTTAGCACACGAGTCTCAGTTGTGCAAAAGCCCTCCCGGACACCGCCGACGCCTGAGCCTCAAGCGTGAGCGATGAATCCAAGTGGACTCCCAGACTGCGGGCCTGTGGCTTCAGGGGGAGTGTAACCCCGTCCAACACAGGTAGCCACCCTATACCCCGATCCGGTTTTCTATCGACCAGGAGGACCTCTGTCTTGTCGGGATTGATCTTCAGCTTGTTCATCCTCATCCAGACAGCCACAGCGGTCAGGCACTCGTCCAGCACTCGAGGGGCTTCCTTGGAGTTAGGTGGAAAGGAGTAGTAGAGTTGTGCGTCATCTGCGTAGAGATGGCACCCAACTCCAAAACTCCGGATGACCTCTCCCAGCAGTTTCATGTAGATGTTAAAAAGCATGGGAGACAGAATGGAGCCTTGCRGGACCCCACAGGTCAAWGGCCAGGGGTCCGAGCAGGCGTCTCCCAGCTTCACYATCTGGGWTCGWCCCTCCAGGAAGGACCRGAGCCACGACAARACCGTGCCCCCGAGACCCATCCCAGAGAGWCRACCCARAARGATACCATGATCGATGGTATCGAAAGCCGCTGAGATGTCCAAGAGAACCAACAGAGTCACACTCCCCCTGTCCAGCTCTCTACGGAGATCATCCACCAAGGCGACCACGGCTGTCTCGGTGCCGTGACCAGACCTGAAACCAGACTGTGACTGATCTAGGTAGTTGATGTCATCTAAAAAGCCCTGGACCCGTGTGCAAAACATAAGGGATATCTGTAACCAGCCCACCTCTAGTGAGGAATTTGAGGGGTTCACTGGAGATTGGCAGCCAGGGGACTCTTGGCAGGATCTGAACCCTGATACTCGTTGGCAGAGGTGGAGGGATGGGCATTCAGCTGCAGGTTTGGGAGCAGCTGGGAGTGATGACGAGAGGGTGGGGAGCTCATCAAGCTCTGATGAAGAATCGTAAGATAAAAGGGGGTTCAGTTTGACCTGTAAGTCGCAGAAGGCAAAGTGTCTTCATGGGACATAATTCTTTGCACCTGCCAACTTTCCACCTTGGGTCCAGGGCTATAGCTTCGTGTGTTCCTGTGCTCCTGTTTCCTGGGTGACTTCAACGTTCCAGCTTCGCTTCTCTACGGAATTGACTACGGACCAGTTTGACTTCGCTTTTGGACTTCTGGACTTTGTTTGGTAATATCTTTGTGACTCTAACAACTTTCAGTTTTTGAAACAACGTTTTTTCAGTTTTAAAGACTGTGTTCTTGCTACATTTTGATTTTTAAGCAATTCGCTTCATCTTTAGTTTAATCCGGATTAATAGGCAGCGCTATAATCCGGATTATATTTTTGTTTCTCCTATTGACTTGTTTTTGGTGCCAAATTGCTCCAGCAGACCTTAGCACTGTAGTTAAGTGCTTTGTAGGTCCTTTTGTTTGCAATAAAGCTGTGTTTGAACCTTTAATCTGTGTCTGGCGTGATTTAAGGCTTCTGGGTTCTGACAACCAGTGAACATACTGAAAGCAGAGTATCTGGAATGTGGCCTCCAAACTGGAAAAAAACAATTCAAATCAATGGTCACCTACAGATGTGAGAGGTGGACCAGAAGGAAGGCTGAGCGAAAGAAGAGAGATGCCTTTGAACTGTGGTGTTGGAGGAAAATTCTGAGAGTGCCTTGGACTGCGAGAAGATCCAACCAGTCCATCCTCCAGGAAAGAAAGCCCGACTGCTCACTGGAAGGAAGGATAGTAGAGGCCAAGATTAAGTCCTTTGGCCACATCATGAGAAGACAGGAAAGCTTAGAGAAGACAGTGATGCTGGGGAACATGGAAGGAAAAAGGAAGAGGTGCCGACCAAGGGCAAGATGGATGGATGGCATCCTTGAAGTGACTGGATTGACCTTGAAGGAGCTGGGGGTGGCCACGGCCGACAGGGAGCTCTGGCGTAGGATGGTCCATGAGGTCCCGAAGAGTTGGAAACGACTGAACAAATGAACAACAACAATATAATATAATATATTGTATATACATATTTTATATATATATATTAACGGGCATTCGGTTAACAGTGCAATCAATGTGAATGATTACAGGAATTGGAAAATCGGACGACGAATTGGATCATGATTTTAGTTATGAGTTGTATCGGGTTAACTATTGTTGTGCTAATATTGTGTATTATGCTTTTGTGATCTTATATTGTATACTGTTTGTTGATTTTATTCTTGTTGTAAACCGCGTTGAGTCGCCGGCCAGGCTGAGAAACTGCGGTATACAAGTAAAGTAATAAATAAATAAATAAATAATAAATATTGATAACATTATAATGTAATATAATATACTACTACTACTAAAAAAATATTATAATTATATATTTTATATTAAATGTATTATTACTAATAATATTACAGTATAATGTTACAGTACAATATAATATACAATATTAATATTGTGCTATGATAATAACAATATATTGTATTTACTTTTTATTTGTAAGCTGCTCTGAGTCCCCTTCGGGGTGAGAAGGGCGGCATAGAAATGTCGTTCATAAATAAATAAATGAATGAATAAATATCCTATCCGCTTTCCACTTTTTGTCCCCAAATCCCCTTTACCGTAAGAGCTGTTCCGGGCAGGAAGAAATCCGTTTCATGAACCTGTGGAAAACCCGGTCTCTCTTTCCAATCCCGCTCTTCTCGTATTTCTCCTCGTAACCACCAGACGCGCAACTAGGGAATGAAATAAAACCAGGTTTGTACAGAATGCCTATGCTGTACAAAAAAAGTCTGGTATTGAAAGTCGTAAACAGAATTGACCCACCAAATCAACTTCTGAATGTTGAATCCGCACTTAGGGCCGGGCTTTAGCACAGCTGGTAAATCACCAGCAATGATAAAATCTCCCAACCAAAAGGTTGCCAGTTCAAAGCCCTGGTTCAGCGTGAGCTCCCACTGTCAGCCCAGCTCACTGTTTACCTAAGCAGTTCGAAAAGACCTTGAGATGTAAGTAGCGAAATTAGGTACTGCAAAACAAGTGGGCGAAAAAGAAAAAGTAAATACCCAGCGACCAGATAGAAGGAGGAAATCCTGATGGCTTTTTGTCATAGAGGATTGAGCAACAGCACCTCCCAGTGGCTAGATTCGAGCACAACCTCCAAGGCGCCAAAAAGCTGGATGTCGTTGACACAACATACCTCCTTTCTGTTCTGTCTGTCTCTGTCCTGTCTGTCCAAAATGGCATTGAATGTTTGCCGTGTATTATAACGTAATGCAATATAATAATAATATGAAATTATAATGATATATTTATATTACATGTAATATTACTAATAATATTACGATATAGTGGTATGGTGCAATATAGCAATGTTTAATGCTGATATTGTACTATGCTAATAATATAATAATATAATATATTGTATGTAATATATACCTTGTAAGCCGCTCTCATCCCTTCGGGGTGAGAAGGGTGGCACATAAATGTCATGAAAACCACACACATATGCAAACACACATATATACACATATACACAAATATATACACACACATATTGTAGGGGTTCAGCCTCCGTGTGAACCTGACCCTGATTCTTTGATTGTATTTCCTGATGCAGCTGAACAGGCCACTGATGGTTTGGAAACAGTTGATTCTGAGGGAAGTGGCTGGGAAAGTGAAACTAAACATCCTGATGAGGATGTTTCAGAGTCAAGCGGTGATAACTCTCCAGAGGAGTTAACACCTGCCTTTTTTAATGAGGATAGAAGAAGGCAGATTTGGGAAAACAGGAGTGAATCACAGAGTTTGCGAAGGTCAAGTAGATTAAAGGAGAAGGAGGCTTCCAAGCCTGGAGGCGTGTCCCGAAACAGTTTCTTTAGTTTAAAGTGTCTTCCCCCGGGCCTGACTGCTTAGATCAAGCATCGTGAAGGGACATTATCATTATTAGTGTCCCTTATGCAGGAGAGACACCATTGTGTCCAGTGCAGAGGTGCAGNTCCAGAGTGACTCCCAGGTATTTGGGTGCGCTGCAATGCTCCAGTGGGATTCCTTCCCAGTTGATCTTCAGAACTCGGGATGCTTCTCTGTTCTTGAGATGAAAGGCACATGTCTGTGTTTTAGATGCGTTGGGGATCTGAAAGAGTGATGACATTATTATGTCCCATTGAAGTGACAATGCGCCTCTGGGCTTTTACTGGCACACCATTCTAGTCTGGACGCGCATGAGAAATTCCAGACCCCTGACACTTATGCTTCACACCATTTTGGCGAAGTATACAGGGCATCATGACCTGGGACTGGTACAGTAGGCTACCTCACCTATGATGAGCTCACCTCTAGCCAATTACTCTGCAATTACGTTATCCAACCCACTGTTACTATGCAAGCTTTGCAAAGAGCACAAGAAGGTTATATAAACAGCTTGGCTAGTCAATAAACTTCGAGATCACCTTCACCCTCCTGGACTGCCTGTCTTCTTGATGCGTCGCTACATCTGGTGACCCCCGTTAACGTGATCCTCCCCGCCTTCTGCTCACCGCTGGAATAGCTTTCGTGCACGACCAACGGTCCGACCGTTCTCAAACTCGTGAGTAGATGGGTGGAAATGTGTCACCTTACCAGCAAGACCATGCTAGGGAGTTGTACAAGTTGTTGGGGCAGAGGGAGGGTCCCAAAGTCAGTCAAGGAAACTTGGAAGACTTAGTTAGAGAAATTCAGAGCCAGTGCCCTTGGTACCCACAACAAGGGTCATTAAAACCATCAGATTGGGTTAAAATAGGTCAAACCCTTCATGCCGAGCCTCGGGCTGCTATTCAACACCTTCTTTTGTGACAACGATGTGCTGAAGCAATCAGTTGTCTAAGAGTGACAGATAATTGTTCACCCTTGCTAGCACCAGTCATAAATCCTGTCTTGAATCCCCCTGAAACTCGATATCCCCAGTTAACCCTGCCTGCTCCACTTTCGCATGTTTCTGACCTTAAAACATCACTCATCCCTCCCTCCGCACCCCCAGACCCAGATGCCAATAACACAAACTGTCAGCCCAGTGTTGCGGATTTCTCACAGCCACACTCATTGGGAGGCATGATGATTCCGCAGGCCATTCAAAAAGCTAAAAAGAGTGGGGTCTTGACCCTTCATGACATGACAGAGTTCGGGGAAACTGTATCCTCCACTGATCACATTCAAGACACAACAGCCGTGATTCCAGATCTAACTTATGGCTCCGGCACATTCACTAAAACAGCTGGCCGACCGGAGTTCCCAACAATGACATTCGATCCCGCAACATTGGCGGTTGAACAGCCTATTGATTACAAAACAATCATAAATATCATAATTCACCTCCCAGATTTTGAGTCTGAAAAGACGCATGCTTTTACAGGGGGTGTTACATAAATAAACAGTGCCTATACCATGTCTGGATGGACTGTCAGGTCACAGATTCCTCACTTTTCCTAATACATCATTGGTGAGACAGATTAATAACCCCTATCCCATTCCCTTGAGTTTCAATCAACACTAGCTAAATACAGCTATGTCGGTGTGATTTTTTAACACCCCCCCCCCCCAAAAGATATCATTAAAACATTTCCATTCAACAAGATTTCCATTCAGCAAAAACATAAAGCTCCCGTGGCAAATATGGTTAAAAAACACCCTCTGATAAACTTATACTGTCATTAAATAAACATTTGTTACAAAATGATTTTCAAGATGAACTTCTGCTCAATCAGAAGTTCCAGAATTATAATACATAAATAATCTAAAATCAAAGATCTATATAGAGAATCCCCATTCTTTTAAAAATCATCGTTTTGATAAAAAAGCTTTCTAAGTTTTATTTTTGATAAAAAAAATAGACAATACACAGTCCTCTAAAAATTGTCAAACTTCATTTTCTTTAACACTAAACAACATTGATGACCTATAAGATATAATGGGAGCCACTACAACTCTTTAAGATAGTTCTTTGTGTTATATTGACCCTCAACTGAAAAATTGTTTAAGATTATTTTCATTTACTATTATTGTTTCATAGTTATAATTTTGCTCGTTGTTATTACTGTTTCATAGCCATAATTTTGCTATTGTTTTAAATCATGATATAAATGTCTCATATACAACACAGATTTTCATTTACTTGACCTAATTTGACACAAATACCTATACACAACAATTTAAATACTGATAGAGTTGGTGTTGATTTCAGAATCAAGAGTTATAATTCCTAAGATTCATAGTTCACAATCAAAAAACATTCTAAACTCCACCAACAATAAAATTAAACCAAACTTGACACACAAAACTTCAAGTCCCTTTCATTTCAAAGGGTCAATTATATATAAGACTCAAATTACATTCAACTCATACAATCTTAAATTTTAATCACACCTAAAGGCTATGCCTTTCATCTGATGCTTACAGATGAATCAGCTCCACAAAAACACACTTCTTACAAAACATTGGTTGACAACAAATGCTTACATGATAACATATCTTGCTATGTTATTAATCATATTACATATTAAACATTCTTGCTTAGTTCGTTTTAAGATTGAGTTTATTAAGTCTACAAATCATAACTTTGTTTGTTTCTTTTGATTGATGTTCTTCTTCCTTTCCTAAAAGACCAAACTCCCCCCCTCCATATCAAACACAACACGCTAAAGTCAACATTTTAAAAAGTCTGGTCTCAGCTTTCAATAGATCAAACCATTATGTCATAAATCTACCACACTACAAACACACACCCCTATTCGTTACCCACATCTCAGCCAAAGGTTTAAAATACCTATTTCATAAAAACATTAATAAAACGACACTCAAAACCAGACATATATTGATATCTACCTCACAAAACACTAAAATCCATCAAAAAATCTCTCCCCTCTGCGAGAGAGACTCAAGCTGACAGACACGCTACCCCAAGAGAAGGGGAGACATACATTCCACAAGCGAGAGATAAGCCGTCCCAGCCACGGCTAGGCTCTAAACTCTGATTACACACACACAAACACTTCCCCTATCCTGTTTCTGTTAAAATGACTTTTTGATTCATGATTGTTTACCTTTTGATTTATGCTTAGTTACTCTGTTTTATTCTTTTAATTTGTCTATGTTTTTAATATGCTTTCATTCTGCCTCCATACCTGATCTACTTACAAACTACAATTCCCTTCCTTATACACACCGATGCCTATTCTATACTGTGCTGATCAAAGACCATAATAAATCATTGATTAATTGATTAATGACTGTCCAAATGCTTACTCTACAACAAAACACAGCCCTATAAAAATCATGCCTTTTCATCCTCATACTACAAAACCTATTACCCATTTCTCATTACACAATCACTAAAGTTTTCCAACAGGTCTACTGTTGATCATTGTCTCACTCATCCACATATATTTCAACAGATTAAAACCACTTACCCATAACATTGCTCAAAATACATTCCCTAAAGATTTTAACACAACATTTTCTACCTTTCTAGACTCCACCCACATTACTACCTAAACCTCAAAGGATTTAGAGCTGATTTTTTCCCTTTATGACTCTATACCAGTTCCAAAGATTTTAAAATCATACCATCCCAATGCTAGGGGTTAAACATGGCTTCCCACTATTGACCTGGGTTTAACACACTCAGTTTTATCATTTTAAATATCTTAACATGTTCAGTTAATCTGATCTCTTCATCACAGACAGTTTTCGTTCTGTCTCCAAGCCATCCCTACACATCTAAATCATAATTAACTCCTAACAGTCCTTTCAACTACAACCACTTACACTCTTTGCCTAATTTTCCTCACTGATTTCCATAACAAAAAGATAAAACACATGACATTCTATACATATATCTATGATAACCAATAGATCTATTCTACAAACTCTTTATCCAAACCCACAACACATGTTTACAACTCCATTTAACTTACACCCCATAGGCACTAAAACAAACCAACTTTCACAAACAGACAACACACATTGTCCCTCATTTTCCCCTTACACAATTCTTCATGTCACTGTTAACACATTCTCTGGTTACATTTCAACAACCCCTCACAAAAAATACACACCAAACATGTTATCAATTACTTTTTTTATACCTTTACATTCATAGACATCTCTACTACAACATACCTTATATTACAATGCTAAGTTCACAAGAAAGGAGGAAAGCAAAAGGAAACAGTGAAAAGGGGAGATATGCCCAGTTAAATGCGCAATTCCAGA